CCCCCCGTAACCCCCCCAGCAGGTGGGGGCTGCACCCCAGGGCAGCTGTGCCACCTGACACACCCGGCTTGATGCCACCGCGGACCCCCGAGAGCTGCAAGGGGGTCACAAGGGTCCCCTCCCGAGGCTGGCACCGCCTCAGCACGAGGTCCCTCTGTGTGGGGGTTTCCCCTGACAGCCCCCCGGCACTCAGCCCCGTTCCCCCAGGGCTCGGCGGACTCCTACACCAGCCGCCCATCCCTGGACTCCGACGTGTCCCTGGAAGAGGACCGTGAGGGCGCCCGGCGCGAGGTGGAGAGCCAGGCTCAGCAGCAGCTCGAGAGGGCCAAGGTATGGCGGGGAGGCAGCCGAGGCATGGCCCGGGGTTGCCTCCAGGGCCCGGGGATGCTGATCACACCAAAAAACCCCCAGCACAAGCCGGTTGCCTTCGCCGTGCGCACCAATGTCAGCTACTGCGGGGCGCTGGATGAGGAGTGCCCAGTGCAGGGAGCCGCCATCAACTTTGAAGCCAAAGATTTTCTGCACATCAAGGAGGTCAGCTGGGGTGCTGGGGGCTCTGTTCAGAGCCAGGGACCTCCCCTAGTCTCACCTCTGCGCTGTTCTCACCCAGAAATACAGCAATGACTGGTGGATCGGGCGCCTAGTGAAGGAGGGGGGGGACATCGCCTTCATCCCCAGCCCCCAGCGCCTGGAAGCCATGAGGCTCAAGCAGGAGCAGAAAGCCAGGTAGGGATGGGACCCCCCGGCCCCACTCCAGGACCCTCAGCGCTCGCTCACCCCCTTCTTCCCTAGGAGAGCTGGCAATGCCTCGGGCCTCGGCGACAGCGGGAGCCGGCGATCGCCTCCCCCCTCCTTAGGTAAGGGCAGATCTTGGCCCAGGGGAATCGTGGGTGTCCCGAGGGGTTCCCCACTTTTCTGTCACCAACCTGTGTCTCTTCTCTCCCCAAGCCAAGCAGAAGCAGAAGCAGGTGAGTCCCAGGTGTGGGGCTGGGTCGTGGGCAGGGGGCGGTGGGGAGGGGGCTGCAGGCAGGGCAGCAGTGGCTGTTTCTGGGGTGGGCTGGGAGCAGAGTCACCCCTTCTGTTCCCAGCTTATGGGGCTGGGAGGGCTCCAGAGTCTGTGACTCCCTGGAATGGGCTCATTGAGCCCTTGCTGGCTGGGGGTGGGATCACAGGGCACTGACACCCCCCCGTACCCCTGCAGACGCAGCACATCCCACCCTACGACGTGGTCCCCTCCATGCGGCCCGTGGTGCTGGTGGGGCCCTCACTGAAAGGATATGAGGTATGGGGGGATGCAGGGTGGTCTCGGTGTGCCCTCAGGGTGGTGGCCCGTGCCCCTTGTCCCTTCCCTGCCCGTGGTGTGCGGGCAGATGGCGGGGCCGAGGGCGGCTGGCAGGGTGCTGAGCGGCTGCCACCTCCCTGCCGGTGCCATCTGCCGCGGCTCACCGGGCTGTGGCCCCACGGCAGGTCACCGACATGATGCAGAAAGCCCTCTTCGACTTCCTCAAGCACAGATTCGATGGCAGGTGAGACCGTCACCCCACCCAGAGCCCCCCTCCTTCCACTGCCTGCGGGTCCCCAGGTGCTCAGTGTGTCCCTGTGCTCCCCAGGATCTCCATCACACACATCACAGCTGACCTGTCCCTGGCCAAGCGCTCCATCCTCAACAACCTGGGCAAGCAGGCGATCCTAGAGCGCTCCACCACCCGCTCCAGCATTGGTGAGGGGCCAGGCTCACCCCGGGGGTGCAGGGACCCCCTCCCAGGGCCAGCCCGGCCTGACACGGCCCCCCCGGTGTCCCCCCAGCCGAGGTGCAGAGTGAGATCGAACGCATCTTCGAGCTGGCCAAGTCGCTGCAGCTGGTGGTGCTGGACGCTGACACCATCAACCACCCGGCCCAGCTGGCCAAGACCTCCCTGGCACCCATCATCGTCTACGTCAAGGTGTCCTCCCCCAAGGTGAGGGGTGACCACGGCTCCGGGGGGGTCCTGGCTGCCCCCATGGTGCTGTCACTCCCCTGTCCCCTCCCCAGGTCCTGCAGCGGCTCATCAAGTCCAGGGGCAAGTCCCAGGTGAAGCACCTCAATGTGCAGATGATGGCAGCTGACAAGCTGGTGCAGTGTCCCCCGGTGAGCCAGCCGGTCCCCCCGCCCTGGGGATGCCTGGGGGGATCCCAGAGCCCCCCTGACCCCTCTCACCTGCCCCCCCAGGAGCTCTTTGATGTGATCCTGGATGAGAACCAGCTGGAGGATGCCTGTGAGCACCTGGCTGAGTACCTGGAGGTTTACTGGCGTGCCACGCACCACCCGCCACACGCCCCCCACGCTGTCCCCTCGCCCACCGGACTCCCCGGCCTGCAGGTAGCCCCATGG